TTATTTAGCTCGTGCACATAGTTGCTCTCGATTCTACTGTTCTATCATACGCTGCTGCGTCTTGAATTGTGCAATACCTGTAGGCACAAGCCAAGCATGCAAAGCCTGCTTGAAAGCAACCATTTGCAGAGGCCACATGATAATCTTCAGTATATTTCTTTGTACCTGACGCAAACGGCTGGACAAAACTATAGACAAATAAATGTAGACCGTGCTACCTTCAAAAAATGCTTTAAATTGAGAAAACTAGGGTGCATTTGTTCACTCGGTTGACGAGTCACAGCCACGAGATATGTAAACGAAGCAATATATCAATATATCTTAAGGCATGCACAGATATTCTGATTATTTGTTTGACAGTGTCACAGATAGCTTGCCAATACATATATATTTGAGAGCAACAAGATGTGAAGCTTTTATTAGCTCAACGTCTTGTTGGTTCACAGCCAAACAGGTTACTTAATGGCATGATTTGGCCGCAAAAGAGACACACACAAGAAAAGGAACACTCAAACGACACTCAGCCGCCTGTGCTTGTCGTTTGAGTGTTCCTTTTCTTGTGTGTGTCTCTTTTGCGGCCAAATCATGCCATTAAGTAAATACCAACTAGGCCAACAATTAGTATTATTACAAACAGGTTACTGCTTGTTAGACAAATTGGAATAAGCACACCATGGTTTCCAAAAAAAAAAAAAGCATTATTAGAAGTTAGCTCCCGGTGTGAATGTCTGCCTATTTATTTTGTACTGCCTTCTACATGTGCCACAAAGACATTTGTTGAGGATGTGCTACCAGTCAAGCCAAGATCGCATACTTGGTCAATGTGATGGAAATACAAACATTAGAAACACTGCCACCTCTAGTAAGAGCATAACACTTCAGTATCTTGGACTAGCAAAGAGGTGCACAAGAAAGTTAAGCCCACTCTTGTGAAACTTTGAACGCGACTATTTCAGAGTGGGGGAGGTCAACATGCTGTGGCACTTTTATCCCACGAAACATCTGCAGAAAACAGGGTAAAGGCAAGTCAAGAAACGCTGTTATGAAGGCCTGCGCATGGACAGCTTTGTGAATCTAGGCCCAAGTGTTATGCTTTGTGCAAGCCAAAATCCATGTAAATAGGGAGAGCATACTTTTAGGAGTACCAGCGTAAACAAATCTTGGCAGTTGGCTTTTTAGTACAAACAGCAATCCCTGCAATGAAAACAAACATTTTATCTTAACGGTAACAGTGTGAGCACACACACGGGCCAGCGGAGCCATGTCGAATTGTCAGTGCCAGTGTAACCATGTGACATAATGAACTATTCTCTGGCCAACACATGCACAGTTTGCCCCTAAAAAGCGATGCTTTCATATACGTAGTACAAAAAGTCTGCACTTACCAAAATTCACTTGCTTTCTGTACTTTATCATCGTTGGGAGCATCTTTATCTGCAGTATAACCAAATTTGTGTCATATCCCTGAAAAAAAAGTAAAAGACATGCATCAAATATTGTTTCATTTGGTAGCAGTGAAGTCAGGTTAAGAACAGCCAAGTGGGAATCAGCCTAATTATGTGCATGCGGCAAATCCCAAACGGCGTTATTGATTGAGGTTGTCGAAATTTTCGTCGATTGGTATTAACGTCGATATGTGACTTCAACGGCATGCCAAGTTTTCACAGCGCATAAAGATTTCATGATGCAGAATAATGACAGCACTAACGAAAACATACAGCATTTATGATTGTCTTTTACAATATTCAGTTTTGCTAAGGTTTTGCATCACTAAAGAAATCTGAAAGATTTGGGTCATTCCTCCTCCAATTGTTCTGTCAATATGTAAACAGAACATGTAAACTGCTCGCTTGATGGTGCGCTTATAAAATAGTACGTTCAGCGCAGAGGTGAAGCAAGTGACGCAGTGATGTGGGCAGATTTTTTTTTTTTTTTTAGGCGTGCGGGGAGGGGGGGGGGGGGGGGGTCCGCTTATCTGAATAGGCCCGGCAAGCGAATATGGTCGTCAATTTGGGCTCCCTACGCCCGGCCTAAAAAAATTCTGTGCGCAACCGCCTGGCTATGCCAGTGAAGTGAGGCGACAATGATTTGTTTACTTACTGATTTACATACACTTTACATCTCTAAAAAATGCGGCCCAAGGCCCCAACACTCAGCCGTTAACATTACATAAAGCCAATGGTAGAAAAGTGCCAGTATGAATGCAGCTACAACCCCGCCCCAATGTTTCTTCAAGCGAGGTAGTGTTGCGGAAATGAACTTTTAACTGAAAAAGTACACTGGCACTGCAGTGGTGACAGGGGAAGCAAGAGGGTATGCAGGCGGTAATAGAGGTAATTTAGTCCGATACGGCTAGCAATGGATACGGTGAATAAGAGCAAAACATTTCTCTTTCAATAGCGCAACCACTCAACAATGTATTGTAAGAGCATTAAATGTTGCTGGAAATGCCACTCACCTGCACGCTGATGCATGCACAGTCCTTTGTCCGACGAGCGAACAGGCTTGCAGATAGCTGAAGACGTGTTTACGATGTGTTTGTTCCACCCAGCAGCAAAATCCACAACTACTTCGCGCTCCATAAAGATAAATATACACTAACCTTCATCACGAAGAAGTAGAAACGCAAATCTGCGACACACACACACGATCAAAACATAGCTCACAGCTCGCACGTCCATGTGCTCGCCAACCACAGACCATATGAAAATGAGTAAGTAGTGCGAACGCGAGCCTAGTTGCGCCGAAAAAAAAAAAAAAGAAAACGTCGAGCAGTGGCAGCACAAGCGTCAGCGCAATAATTTCAGCGTGTTCTCCTAATACAATTATAAAAACAAACTGAGGTACACTAAAACTCATAAATAAATATAAAAAGTTGAGTGTAATTTTTATTTAGTGCTAGTCAACATAAACACTGAATAAAAATTACTTTGTAACTTACATCGCTTGCTACACTAGCGCCACATTTGTCGTGCGGGCGCAGATGGCGCAGATTTGTCATTCTGCCCTCAACCTACACGGTGAAGCGTGCTACTAAGTGTATGGCTGATGAGAAGCGCGTCTGGGTCCGCTTTTTTTTTTCTTCTCCGATATATTTGGGCGGGGGGGGGGGGGGCTTCTTATGCACGTGTTTCGGTGCTTGATCGACTTTGACGCCCTTACTTCGCGGACGAACGGCGTGTCTAGGCTTTTTTATCGTTGTTTTGCACGTGTTTCGGCGTTCGGTCCGCTTTGACGTGCCAACTCTCCATTCTGCTGCTGCGTGTGTTAGGTATTTGCCGTACTGTATTCTCAGGCCTTCTGTGTTCAGCCAGCGCTGATATCTTATTATCTACGGATGCTAAAATAAACCACTGTTTTGGTTTGGTGAAGTTTGGCACACAGAACAAACAATAATCTGGCCCATGAATATCAATGTGGGCGGCATGCATATTTGTGTGCGGTGTTCTGCCGGGGAGTAACCGTTGCGTGACGAGAGCATTTACAGCGGTTCCTCCTTCCGTTGCTCCCTTACAAACTTAAGATGAATACAGTTGCTCCCCCATTCTCGAACAAGTCGGCCATCTTGTTCCGCTTGGTCTTTTCAGAGAGTAACAGTCGGTCTGAAGGAGTAAAAACAGCCGTTGCTCCCATTTTGGCCATTTTTGGCTTAGAGTGTAGCTGCTATAACGGCTTCCGTCATTTTGTGACTGTCTTTGCCCGACTTAATGTAAATGCTTGTGTTGTCGGAAACGCGGCGACCATGTAGCTGTTCCCATTGGTGGTGGCCTTGTCTTACTTCGAGCCGCTGGGACTTCGATATAGGCCGAGCGTGTTTATAGACTGTGCCGAGGTTGTTCGAGAAAGCCGCAGCGTGCCTATACACCTACGCGATATTTAGAAACGCCCTTCATACGAGACTGACTTTGCACCTTTGTTTTGTTGGCCGTGTCTTAAGACTTTCATTTTTTTTCTTCAATTTTTTTAGCTGTGAAGCTGCATATGTCTAGGTTCTAGTGGATCGCGTCCACGGACATATTTTTTTGAAGAATAACATTCGGCGAAATTAATAATTCGGCTAATACTGTTTTTGCGTCGACAGAATTCACTTGGCGTAAAACGTAAAGGTTTATCATTTCACCGACATGGCAGAGTATCGGGCACAATTTCGCTTCAGAGACGAGACCGCTTGCCATTTTTTTTTGTACTTCCGAAACGGGGCTTCTTATGTACTTCGCGATTTAATAGTTTTAAGACCTACTTTGGCCGCCGTTGCTGAGATAATACCTGCCATGCGCGGGAGAAGCGCCGTAATCAATTGAGTTTACGTATCTTTCAACGCGAGAGCGTTAAAGAGCTCGTTTCGCAGAAATTCCGGCCGCGTCGAAATCATCTTGTGCGTGACGGAAAAATCGAGAAAGATCTAAATGAAATAAATAATAAGAAAAAATCCTGGGGTCCTATTGGGGGATTGAATCCGGGTTGTTTGCATGGCAAGCAGGCATTCTGTCGCACGGCAGCTACGCGTCCGAAGCTTGTGATTGTAGTGAAAGTAACTTCCTCTGCTTGTAACTTTCATGTTTTATCAGCACACGCGTCCTGTATACATGCTTCACAATACAACAAGAAATACTCCAGTAATAATGCGTGGTACAAGCGTATACGATTCCATCGGGCGTCAGAACATGCGGTTATAGATAATGACTTCGTGGTTTAAAGCCCGTCACCGACAACAAAAGGACCACACGTTACATATCACAGTGCACGGGCTTCTACGATGTCGCCTCCATCAAAATGCGACTGCCGCGGCTGGGATCGAATCCGCGACCTTCTCGGACCACCATAGCAACTGCTCCACCATGGTGGACAATAGTAGATGGACTCTGGGCATTGTATACATAGCATGCGTGATCTCAAAATAAAGCTTTTAAGTGGAAGTCAGCGCCGTGTTTGTGTCTTCTCTCGTGTTCGCGTTGCTCCATGTAATGATTTTTTTTCTTGTTTCCTTTTTCTATTCGCAGCAAGACGAGAACTTCGTGGTTGCCGCCCTCTTCTGTGCCGTCGAGGAGGGGAACTACGCCGGCCTGGAGGAGCTATTCTCGATGTCCCACATCAACCCCAACCAAAGCAACAAGGTGTGTGTCCTGTGTTTAGACATATTGCACTGTTTCTGAACAGCGTTGAGCTTAGAGCAACGCCGCGCGCGAAGGCTCCGCCCCACTATGACCACCTGACCACTGACACAGCAGCTGCAAAGCTGCCTCCGAGCACAGCGCGTCGGGCAGCACCCCGCGTGTTCACGCGGTGTAAACGCTGCTCGCACTGGCTGTCGACGAGCTGCGGCCTGGCGCCGACGTTTTCAGATCACGTACTGCATAGTCACCGAGGGTAACAGTCAAGCAAACATGTCATAATCCTTTGCGACAGTAACGTATATAGCTCTAACAACAAAGTTGTGCCAAGCAAAGGTGCCATACACGCTTAATCAGGCCTGCCCACACGTACGCGTTTCAGCACGTCAGCGCGTGGCTTCGTGACAAAGTGCTGTGACCTCTCCCCACGGAGAGAGAGAGGGCGCGCGGATACGCGAACTTGCGTGCTTTCTCTCTCCGGATCGAGGGCGCAGCGCAACGTCATGAAGTGATGCACCGACGCGCTCCTACGGGTACGTGTGGTTGGGCCTTTAGTAGCAGCACAATAGCGAATGCTTAGTGGTACCGGGTGGTCCACAGTTGACACAGCTGTCGTTTGGCGCCACGCGTCACCTTGCGAGGCCGTTGACGCATCGGCAGAACGCTCAACCTCTTTGGGGGACATTGCTTTTCGTCCCCGTCTTCCATCGGCTTGGAGTTTTTCTTTTATGTTTGTCTTCCAGCGTCTCTTCCACCAGCAAGAAGCTTGAATCTGCTGACGCTTGTTCTTTACACCGCTTCCCCTCCATTTTCTGGTCTACTGCGCTTAAAGTCACACACAGTCTCGCAAAACTTTAGTGCTCTCTCAGCTTGTGGTCCGTCCACTCTATCTCTGTGTCAAATAAACTTATTTTTTTAAGGAAATGAGGGACAGTTTTGTTGTACACGTTACATAAAATAACTAAGAAAACAAGAAAATATAACAGTTTATAAGTATTCATTTCACAAATGAGTAAAGCACCAGATTATGTGTTCAGAAAAAATTACCGATGACTGTGTTTCGAAAAAGCTGCTAACAATTTAGAGTACTTGGTGCTCTACTATGGGAGAGCTGGAAGCTGTCCTTGAGGGAACTAAGTGATACGACGGCCACTGAATTAAAAACATTTTTATCCAGCGGCCGTGGTGATACATGTGTGTTTAGAAAAAGTGGTTAACGACTCAGAGAACTTGGTACTCTACTATGGGAGAGCATAAAGCATCTAGGGGCGAAGAAGGGAAGTTTATTGTACACTTAACTTGTACGTACACAAACGAAACATCGAGAACAAGTAAAGACAGTGTATACATCTTACAAGTGAGCACCAAAATCCAATTTATCACTGGGTAGCCAAATGTTACAAGTGAAAGAAAAATTAAAAAAAGAACCAAGTTAATCACATTTTACAGGATAACACTTATGCATGCGTACTAGAGTGAGCGCATGGATAGTACAGGACAACTGGAAACCTCAGCTGTTCCTCTCTTACTTTGAAGAAATGTGTGCCATCGTCAAAGGAAGGCCTCTTCGCAATGCGTTTCCAGCTGCTGATCTAGGTAATTTGACACAATGAGCCGAATTTTCTGTAGTGTAGGATAGGCGCCTCTATGCGGCGTCGCCGCCACAGTAAGTACAAGGTTACTGTAAAGACAAGTCTTGCAAACAGCCCACGTTCTGTTCTCATGCGCATCGTGCGAAAGCCAAAGAGGCGTTGTACCATGTGCCAGACGCCCCTCGCCACCGAGCACTGAAACAAAGCATGTTGGGCCGTCTATCTTTTGCCACAGTTTGGACAGCGGTCATTTGGAACGACTCCCCAATGTGCTAACCGGTCACGCGTAGGCAATGCCCTTCATCTTCTCAACCAATCAAAGTCGCGCACCTGGTTAGGTAAGCGATTGCAACGCCATCGTTTCCATTTTCTCGTGCAGGATGCTGTTTCTTCCTCTTTGCTCAGTGTGATACTTGTCACCATTTCGCTTATTTCTTGCGATGAAACATCTTCCAGACTGCGTGAACCTATTGATTCCACTGTTCTTTTTAAGCCACTGGCAGCTCTGTAAAACTTAAGCGGAATTGCTGCTCGTGGTCCGATGTACGGATTGGCCGTGAAAGTACCTTTTAGTGTACTGCTCCAGTACATCATGAACCTGTACCCGGGGTAGTTGCTGTCATCGAACAGCTTCTGTGTTGTTTTTGCAGCCAGCGCTCTCGTGAACGTTGGTATATCTGGGAGGCTCAAGCCTCCACGGTTTGTGGGAAGCAGTAAAAATTTCCTCCGTACCTTTGCATGGTTTTCCTCTCCAGAGAAAGGCCCCACCATAGAGGCGAGGCGTCCTGTAACACGGCGAGGTAGCAGGGCGATGTGTGCTATGTAAAATGCAAAAGCGCATGCCTGTGTTTTGATGACTGTTGCTTTTGCCGTTAGTGACAGGTTAAAATGAGTGGCTGCTACATCGGTAGATCTCCTAAGCACGTCATCCCAGGTCTTTTTTGATACATCTCCTTCCTCAATGTAAACGCCTAACACCTTAACAGCTTGAAGGTATTCTAAGTCTCCTGGCAATAGTTCTCTGCAGCCTCCAAAGCGCAATGCCTTACATTTGGTGGTGTTTAAAAGAGCAACAGACAGATAGGAATACTCAGCAAAAATGTCAAGGAATGTACTATAGCTAGACAAGTTACGAAAAACTACCGAAATATTATCGGCGTATGCGACAATTTTGAAGGTTCCGTCGCCTGGCAATGGGAAACCCACTATGCGCTCGCAGTTTGCAATTTTTCTAATCAAAGGCTCTGGAGACAAAATGAACAATACCGGAGAGAACGGACAGCCTTGCCTCACCCGTTTTTGAATTGCAAAGCTTCTGGTCACTTCATTGTTGAAACAAAGACGGCTTGACAGGTCCTGATAAAGTATTTCTACCAGTCGCACATACTGCTCTGGGAGGCCAAATATGCACCGAATAGCTAAAAAATACCCATGTTCAACTCTATCAAATGCTTTGGCCTGATCAAGAGAAATATATACTCCTGAGATTTGTTATCTTTGGCATATGCAAAGAGGTCTCTGATGATTGTAAGAGGTACGAAGACGGAACGTCCTGGTACTGCACATGACTGCAAGGGGGACACAATCTCTTCCAAGAAAGGCCGCAGACGCCGTGATAGCAGCGTGGCTACTAACTTATAGTCTGTGTTTAGAAGGGTAATGGGCCTCCACGATTTAGGATCTGATGGCTCCATACCCTTCTTTCAGTAATAGAATCCCCTTCCTTCGCTGAAGGAACCGCGGTTTATGGCCATCACGCAACAAAATATTCACGAGATCGGTGATCGCATCTCCCAAGATATCAAAGAGACGCAGATAAAATCCCGTGAGTATTCCGTCTGGGCCTGGTGACGTGGACATATTCATTGATTTCAGGGCGTACCATACTTCTTCTTTATCAGTTTCTGCATATAATACTGAACAGTCCTTCCGAGCCTAGCGATGGCAAACCTTCGCAAAAGGCTGAGAGTTTAGCAGCTAACTCGTCGTCCTGTGCGTCATGGTCTGCAGCAAACAGTTTTGCAAAGTATACTATAGTCTCGGAAAGCTTTTTGAACGTCGTCCGGGTTATTAACAATGGCTACCATCATCTTTCAGTGCCTCATCGATGTAGCGGGGCTTGCATCGACGATCTTAGTTTCTTTGCGCATATGTCAAGTTTTCAATTTCATCTGTCAATAAGTGCATTTCTCTTGCGAGCCTTGTAGCCTGGTACCTCTGCTTTAGAAGATTTTGATACTTAATTTTTTGTGCTTCAAGGTATTCGAGCATAGCGAACGTAGTTGACCCACCTATTTCGATAATTTGAATGCGTCGGAGAATTCATTCATCTTGGCCAGTGAGGCGAGCGGGGTGCGCTTTTCCTGCCTATTGAGCTATGAGGCGCCAGCGAGATTTTAAGTGGCCCCATGTAGTCGGAGTTATGCAACCCACTTCTGCCAGTGAGGCCGCCAGCTCAGTTTGAAGTACGGAAATGCTTTCGTCATCATGAAGAATAGTTGGGTCCATCCTCCATGGTTTGTGGATTCTCGTTGTTGTGCTCACGTTAAACGTGAAGAGTAACGGAGCATGATCGCTGAGTTTCTGCTGGCTTGGCGCAAGCTGGACCACCTCACATGCTTGTAGGTTTGCTAAAAGGTCTTCGGGCACATAAACTCTATCAATTCGGCTTTGTTGAATGCCACAAGCGCGGGTTGCGACGAACCCGACTCCGTGTAGAGTTAACCACCCATCTGACAGCTTGAGATCTTGAACTCATTGCTGTAGTTCTCTGGCGTAATAATTGTTGGCGCCTTGGCTGGCACCCCTGACGTCTCGTGTAGTATCGAGCACGCAGTTGAAATCTCCGACAAGCACATATGATATCGGCTCGATCAAAAATTTTTTGACATCTTTATAGAACCCGTTCGTTTCTGACCTCGTTACGGGCGCATACATGTACGTTGACAAATCTGACTCGTTTGCAGTTAAGTACCATATCTACTGTTATGATGCGGCCTTCGGTGTCAACAAGACAGTGAGCACCCCTCCTCAGCGTTGCGTTCATGAAAACAACTCCTGTGCTACGTGCATGCGTATCTGTGAGTGAGAAGAAGGCCTCTACATGAAACCTTTCCTGAAACTCTGCAACGTCAAGCTTAATACGAAAGTTTGTCTCTGGCAAAAAGAGCATGCCCACGCGATGCGCGCGCGCGAGGTCAAGTACTGCCTGCTGCTTCACCGGGTTTCGAAAACCGCGAACATTGAGCGACATAAAAAGAAAGTGATGTCATTGTTGACATAAAGGCGGGGAAGTTGCTTAAAGGAAAGAAAAGGTAAGAGAGAGGAGAGCCAAACGCTAAATGTACATATCGTCGTCGCTCACAGTTGGTGACGTTTGCCGTGGTGGTGATCCCACGCGGGGTTTCTTCA